TATTCAATAGTTGTGGATCTAGAGAATGCGACAATCAGAAAGAATGTATATAAAGTCGATTACTTCGTGATTACTATATAGGTTTGTTTACTCTTAGAAAAAGAACAAAGATGATCGCGATTAGGACTGATACCAGGATTTATGATAAAGAACGCTCGTTTCCAGCTTTTAAGAATAGTGCAAGAGTGGTGCAATAAACTGATGACTATGGAGCTATTCAGGTTTATAAAAACTTTCAACTTTTTACTCTGCACTTGCACTTGAGACGATTATAACTCAAATGCAAGCCAGGTTTACCTCATAAGGGGACGTCTATTTGCTCTGTTCCTTATAAACTCGTCCAAATACGCCGAAGTTTCCTCATAAAAGTGTATCGTCCTTTTATGCTGAAAAACATCAGAGTCCATAATCTGCTAATCGATTACTATCAACCGTGAGCTAGCAACTATTTTGAGTTGCGCTACTTCTGTCACCTACTAATTGATTAATCTCATCAGCTCTGAGATGCAAAATCGTCATTTCAAATCGGCGTTAGGAGAAATTTTATTAAAGACTCACATCAATATCTGTGTTATTCATAGTATCCATCACGACGCCGAAATTATCGTCACTTCCACCCACTTTCGCGATGTAGCGATAAAGAGCGAGTACTTGAGCACCCTGCAAATGAGATGATAGCGGGAAAATGTTGTTTAAAAAAAGGAATTTATTGCATTGAAGATGATTTATCTACAAGGATTCACTAAATTTTCGGCCTCCTCGCTTTTAAATACACCATATTTACGGAAAAAGATCAGTTAGAACAACATACATATTCATCTCTCGAAAGCTGATTTGTATGGAAGCCGAAGAGCGAGAAACATTAAGTTATGAAAGCAAAGCTTCAGACCGCTTTCATACTCTGTCGTGATTTTATCTTAATAACAGATATAGGTCGAACTGGCCGTTTACCCTGAGTTGTATATTCGAAGAGCCTGTTAAACGAAAGTCTCAGGTCTGCCTTCTTTATCTGCGGAATAATTCTATAACAGGCAGGACGAATCACTGTGAGTGAAATGATGTAATCTTGTAACAGTTATACATTGCAGCAAAAGTGGTGCAGGGGAAACTGTGTTAGGATACTTTACTCCCGCTGTGCAGAAGTTTGCATTTTCCAGAAAAAAATACAGATGCGATAAGCGAGAACAAATCTTCCAAAGGTTTTTTGTTACGATATACATATTGGATAAGAAATATAGCATCATCAGTTTATATATTCATAGTAAGCGACTAACCATGGACGCTTTTCGATCCTTGATAATGTCACTGAGCCGCACTTTTCGCATCCTATAGTAATCGAAGTCGATCTCTTCAAATGCTTCATCGTCTGAATGTAAGATTGAGATTTGTCGCCTACTTTAAGGAAGCAAGACTACAGGGCGTTTTAAATTTCTCGTCAGGTTCCCAATATCGTGCTAAAATAGTTAGGTCTTCTACTATAAGATACCTTGTCTTATACACGCTAGGTTGTTTATTCATCAAATGTATCATATATCGCGCTTGATCACTTTCTTATCAAGGCTTTGATAGCGATTAACTACAATTCATGATAAGCTAGCCATAATCAACTTTTCCGTGAAAACTTGTCTTCCCAAATGACTTTTGAAGATAGACGTGAGCAAACCGACTGACTGATTTGCAATGTGCAGATTAATATGGAATGGATGTTATTTTTAGGAACTTTGAATTACACTCTTGCATGGTACGTCAATCAGGTGTGGGGAAGGTGAAATTAACCTATGCTTACACGATGTTGAAAAACTGTCCTTGTGTACGATTTTTAAAACACTTTTAAATATTTGCGTCTGACTACCTACCTGTTCCGAATACAATCACTCGGCCGGGTGCTCGTTGTTCTGTGAAACCAAATTCAAAAAGAATTGACGAGACCGTCGAGACGACGTTAGTTGCCGATTCTGGCACACTCACGCGGACCATTCGCTTTGTTTTGGAGAAATATTGGATAAACGGCCGTGAACACAAGTGATGCTGATGTATCCGCTTCTAAAATTGAATTTGCTTAGACGCTGTTCTAGTTATCTCTCTATGTCTACAGATTATCCGGTTGAACTATACCCATTTTACTGCTTTGATCAACCATGAAAAGTTCCAGCAGCTCCCTGCTCATCGTCCCCTAACAGTATAGATTTTTGGCTAATCTTTCGTAGGGGTTCGCCCGAGCTGAAATCCCTCGGCGCGTCAAAATATTTTTGCATAAAGGGCTTAGAATCCTATTAG